CTTACACATACATTTATTTATATTTATTTATTTATTTATATGTATGCACATATATGCATGGAATGTATAAATTTAGATATAAATAGAAATATATTTGTAAAAAAAAAGCAATGTGAATAAAAAAAGTAAAACTATTCATTAATGTCTTCCGTGAGTCTATCGAATCTTACCAAATTACTCCTTTAAGCCAACAAGCATGTCTATAGAAATTAAAAAATAAAATAACCCTCTTAAATCAAAACATTTATTATTTAAGATTAATAAATACATAAATAATTTTTCAAATTAAATTAAAATAATAAATAGTAATTACATTAATAAATACAAATAAACAAATCAAAAATAAGAAAAATTCAACATTTACTCACTTTTGTTTATTAGGCATTAAATTACATTATTTTTATCCTTCGTAAATTATCTTGACTTTCAAAGCTAAGAATATAGAGTGCTTAAATTTAACAGATTTAAATATCTAACGATATATGTTTTTTTACTTTTTTTATAGATTTATGTTGCAAAATAAAACCCTTAATTCTGCCTTTGTAGAGTCCATCAGAGGACGAATATATAGTCCTCCTCATACAATCTCGTTTTGCTGTAACACATTGTGATTAGACGTCCGATTGGATCGAAACTCAACCGATTTAGCATTAATCAGAGATTCTACCCTTGAGTTATCGGCTCAAGGCAGAGAAAGGGAATCTTTAAAAATATTATATACGTGATTTATACAAACAGTAAATCAGTCGCCAAGAGCTCTTAATTCATATGTTCTTTTTTTTGTCATATGTATATATAAATATTTGATTTTCGCAAAACAAAAAATAAACAAAAGAAAGGAACAAATAAGCAAAAGCATGTTCGGCAATAAGACTAAATCAATAAAATAAAAGAATTTACTAAAACTGAAAACTCAAATAGAAAAATCCTACGGCGTGATGCATCGAGCAACGAAAATATAATGAAAATAAAATTGGACTATGTGTGATCGTAAAAAATACAATGGAAATGTGAATTTATTGGGCAACAAAAAAATGTTCACATGAAATCTAACTTGATTACGTATTTTTTTTTAATTCAAGAAAAATTAAGCATGTGTTCACAAATTGATGACACAAAAACAAAGAATTCTCGAACCGAAAAGAAAGTCCCAAGGGAAAAAACACTTGTTATAGTTCTAAACCCTAACTATGGCTATGGTTTTCAATATATTGTCATTTCTATATTGACATGCGCTGTCCCCACTCAGGATGCACGCGATCATGGCTCTCCCCAATTTCCTGTCCATTAGTATCATTATCTTATGCGTTGTGTTCCACTGTTCCTCTTGCCATTAATCTGTGCCTTGAGAATCAGATTGCCCAAGACCTCTTTTCTCAGTATGTGTTCTAGAAATTTCAGCTATATCTTCCTGATATTATGTATAAATTTCCTTTTTTGTTTCCATTTAATCTAGAATTTCGTCGTTGCTCACCTATTCGGCTCCTCTACTACATCTCAAATTTCGTAAGATTGCATTTATATAAATTAAAGAAAATATTGTAACGTAATTATGTGCAATAATGTATGCTATGCAATATAGGGGAAGAATTCAACTCGAAAAAAAATGAAAATAAATACAATGTATCTAAATACAAATTAAAGACACGCTCATACCATCTTAAATAATCAACAATGTCTTGCAGCAATTTTTAATATCAACTTGAGATATTTCGTATTATGTTGAATAATTTTAACACATTCAGGATTATTTATAAGCATTTAGTAAAAATTATATACCGTTTCTTCGGGACTTAGCTTGAGCAAAATATTCACGAATTTGAACAACAACAAAAAATAGACCCTGGAATAACATCAAAATCCATTAAAAATGTTCCAACTTTAATAGTCATCTATGCCATGTTTAATTCGTAACGTGTATAAATGTAGTTAGAAAAAAGCAAATACTGATAAGATAGCGAAAATCAGAAAGCACTGCCCGGGACCCCCCCCGCCCCAGGCAAGCTCCCCAATCGGTGTGTTCGGAAGTAGTATGCATCAGCCCTGTCATTATGTTCAACATTTCTCTATTCAGCATATCCTTATAATATGCAAATATAAACCCCTCTTTGAAAGCCCTTACAGCACCCTTATTTATTAATCCTCTACTTTGAATTGTCGAGTCTGGTCAGTATCTAAATGGGGATCGCTTGCAAATGACAGGTGTGTTGTAAGCTTGTATGTGCGGGTGGCGTAATGGATAATGGCTCGGAATTGTCAATTGGAGAGCTGCGATCTAAATACTGTTGGGTTCTTTCTATTCACTTACGCATAAATACCTTTGAGAAAAGTATAAATCCATCACTCCCTCCAAGCAGTGGGTTAATGAGTAAGCCTTGTATAATTAAAACACCATTATTATCTCCAAAAATAAAAATAAAATTGTCTATCGATATTTCGACATTAAATAACACTTATAATTTGATATGCCAGTAAAAAAAATCAACGAACCAATCTAACTTGAATGACACTTGGGCCTTGCTTTGGGTGAACTAAATTCTTAAAAACTAAACCACAGAGCTATGTTTTAAGGAATTCATAACAGAACAATGGGTTCATAGTTATATTCTGGTCATTTCCTATTTAGCAATTTTTGAACTAATAAATTCGATCTTTAGAAGTCCCATTGTGTCACCTTCAGCAGATAAAGAACCTACTGTTAACGATTTGATATCAAATCCTAGAATAAACATTAAGAGACGGGTGAGATGATAATATTTCTTTTCAGGTCTTTAGTTGACCAAAACTTAGTTAGGTTACCTGTGGTATTCTGGTTGTAGTGCATATGTGGTACTACTTTTGTGCATGTCACACTGTGAATGTCAGTATGAATGTTCGCTGCCTTTTGGTTCGTGGGAATAGTTAGAAAATAAGAAAGAAACAAAAAGAAATGCAATAAAATAAAAATAGATAAAATAAAATAAATCGTATAATGACTAATAAGTAAAAGAAACGACGGAGATATATTTGTAGAAAGACTGAGAAAAATTCAAATAAAGAAAAGAGAAATGAGCCAGAATGTGAAGAATAAAAAAGGTGAAATTAAAATTAAAAGTGCTATGCTCAGATCAGTTTTGTTAATGTTTGAAGCTGTATATATTTTTTTTAATATTACCATGTTTTGCCGCCATCCTCTGATAGTAAAACCAATATACCGGATGTAAACGTAAAATTGTCCAAATCGTTTAGAAGCATGCGATAATTGTACACCCCACAAAATGTTTAATAATTAAAAAAACACTAATCTAATTGACTTTCTTTTTCCAGGTTCCCAGATAATTTAGCCATCTTGAGGCCATTTGTCGTAAGAATCAATGAAAAGCCTTTGACTTATTCAGCTAGAAAGCGAACAGGTTAGAATCGTTTTGTGTCAGCCCCACTATGTCTTCCCAAATGAGCAATGGTTAGACGAAAAAGATCATTTAGGCCTTCAGTAATGGTACCGATATTCATACGCTGGCTTCCATCTTCAAATTCTATTGAAGAACCATCAAGAGAGCGGTGAATAAGTTTAAAAAATAAAGGAACTGGTGAGAGGAAAACTGGATCAGGAGCTCACAACAGGAAGAGGGATCATCATTCCCACTTAGAGTTAAATACATTCTTATTGATCAAAGTAGAGTCCAATAGTGTTATAAAAAATTTGATGTGACTTGATGTTATCGGCTGTTGAAAAACGATCGCAGTATGCAGTAAAATTTTAAAATACGGGAACACATATTTACGTATGTCTAACATCTACAAGTTTCATTAATAACGAATAAAAAGCTACTGAGTTCAATTTCTTCTGTGTTTTCATATCTGGTTGGTTATTTAGCAGGGTGGGACATTAAAAATAGAAATAAAAATAAAACAATAGTATTTTTAAAAGTAAAAATATAAGTGGAAGAAGAAATATGAATAAAAAGAAAGAAAGAAAGAAAGAAAGAAAGAAAAAGTCACAAGATGAAAGAATGAATGAGTAGAAAGAAAGAAAGAAAGAAAGAAAGAAAGAAAGAAAGAAAGAAAGAAAGAAATATAAGTGTCGGCGAAACATCGATTATTCTACAGTTAGGAGGTCAAGGTTCGATACGATCAGATTTAGGCTAAAACTGTCTGGGATAAACATCAATATCTATAATCCACGAATTATATTAAGAAAGGACATCGTGATATATGTAAATAGAAAACAAACTGGGTATAATGGAAAAAAAAAAAAGAAAGAAAGAAAGAAAGAAAGAAAGAAAAAGTGAAGAAAAAATATGGGAGAAACGAAGAAGTGAAGGCTATGAGGAGAATGGAAGGATATGGGAGAAAAGAAAGAATCCCCGAAAGTTCCAAAGATAATCCGAAAGGATATGAGAGGAATAGATAAGGATATGGCGGGGGGAGGGGGGAGAATCCCGAAAGTTCCAAAGAAAACAAAAATAAATAAAGAAAGAAAGAAATGAAGAAAAAATAAAAAGGAAATGAAAGGAAAAAGGAATATAGGTAAATAAATAGAGAAAGAAAAGATATGACGGGAAGAAAGAACATTAAGATATGATATGGGGGTAAAGAAATAAAGAAAAAATATGAAGGAAAGAAAGAAAGAATATAGGTAAATAAATAGAGAAATAATGGATATGGTGGAAAGAAAGAAGAACAGCAAGAAATGATATTGGTAAAGAGAAAACGACATGATATGGACGAAAGAAAGAAAGAAAGAAAGAAAGAAAGAAAGAAAGAAAGAAAGAAAGAAAGAAAGAGTAAAAATAGTCCCACATTTCGAAATACAATGTTAGAAAATTACAGTGCAGCAAGACAGGGAGAATACAAATAAAATGACTAGACGGAGAGTAGAGAAAAGTGGGAAAATAAAAAGAGAGGTGAAAATAGAAAGCAGATTAGCCCGTAAAATTCAACTGGACAAGAAATACAATCAAAATGGAAATGAAAAACAAAGTAGCTAAACTTTGTTAAAAAGGTATATGTGGATTTATTTAATAGTTGAGTAAAAAGAAAACTCGAAAGAAAGAAAGAAAAAGAAAGAAAGAAAAAGAAAGAAAGAAAAAGAAAAAAAGAAAAAGAAAGAAAATCCGAAAAAATTTTGACAACTTAAAAAGTGAAAGAATGAAAAATTTTGCACGTATCGGACATGGAAAAACAAGAAAAATAACAGAAATAAAATTATATATAAAAGCAGCAAAAATAGACGGAAAATCAAGAATGGATAATAATGTGAAAACTATAATCAGTAAAAAAAAAAAAAATACATCAAATCTTCTGTTCCTTATGGTAAACAGGGCGTCCGAATTCTCGCTCTGCAGATAGTTACCAGCGGTTATATTTTCGCTCTGAAAAGTGTCCCACAGAGAAAAGTCTAAGAGTGTGACACTTGGGAAGTGAATAGGAAAACACGAGGAGAATGAACAAGAAGGCAAATAAATACGAGAGATTAATGGCATCTATTGAGTAAAGGGTGACTATCAACACCGGAAGAAATGACAAAAATCGAATCAATTGTCTGACGTGATTAATATATGTAAATATCACAATTTCATAAAATGCTTGAGGGCTAACAGACAGACGCGCAAATGTGAGTGGACTGAAAAAGATTAACACTACAAAGAAGAGACGCAGACATTGTATTTCTATATGATAAGCAGGCAGACGAGGAAATAATATGAGAGGTTCATGGCGGTAGTCTAGCGCAGAAGCATACATATATATATATATATATATATAGAGAGAGAGAGAGAGAGAGGAGAGAGACAGAGACAGAGAGAATAAACAGAGAGACAGAGGCAGATAAAAGAATAATCAAGACCAGTTGATAAACATGTAAGACAGTTGTATATAGAATAAGATAGATATATATATATATATAGATATATATATATATATATATATATATATATATATAGATATATATATATATATATATATATATATAGATATAGAGAGATAGATAGATAGATATGAACATACTATATATATATATATATATATATATATATATATATATATATATATATATATATATATATATATATATATATATATATATATATTATATATATATATATATATATATATATATATATATATATATATATATACTTACGTCTGTTATTTGTTCCCAGAAAAGCGATTTAAAACGGGTTCAGTCGAATTTACTTGTCACTAGGCTAAACAACATATAACCATTCCCAGGATCTATTTTATGCTTACAAACAAATAAATTTTAGATTTTAATATAGTACAGAAAAAAATAGTAATCTAATTTTACGAATATATGTACGTACATACTTGTAGATGTTGATGTTTACAATTTAGCGATCTTTACAGTACATCGCAGTCTCTTTATTTGTGAACGTGGTTTCCTCTAAGACATTAAGAAATAAAATGATTTTGTAAGGTTAAATAACAAATACAGTTATTAAAATTATTTTACGATAGTAGAAAATAAATTAATTAATGTTAAATTTCTAAATATTTACATTCAATTTGTTTATTATTACATTGCGGACGTAGTTGGCTGTGAATTTATGATGATTATATTAACATTTACTGTAAATGTATGTAATTGAATATGATTTTAAATACTTTTTATTCTTATTTGTTGTTCAACAGCATGATTTTATGTGCTTTTAATGCTTCTCTAGTTTGTGGTGAACAGATGTAAAGTCGAATAATATGACTTGTCTTTTATTTTTCCATATATATTTTTGCACAAACGACGTATAATCGTGAACGACTTAACTCGAAAGGGCGTAAATGCAGGCATATAAATAATATTAATCAGTTAGAATGAATTCTGTTTTAGACTAACCCTAACATTAAAGCATTAATTAATTATTATAAACAAGTTTCATTGTTAAGGTTTTTGATTTCTCATATACTTATATTTTGATTTTTTTCATTCCAGGTTATGTAACAGCGTTTCCCCTAACGAGGGATGTTTGATTGATTTGAACCTTTTAAAACTCTTTATTCTCTATTCAACACCATCACTTCATAAGAAAACAGAAGTGTTGAAACAAAATAGCTTTTTTGTAGTGATTTTATAACAGATTTATGTTATAATTTTTGAATAGATAATTTTATATATATATATATATATATAATATATATATATGTATATATATATATATATATATATATATATATATATATATATATATATATATATATATATATATATATATATATATATATATATATATATATAGAGAAATTGAGAGTGAGAGAAATAGCAAGCTAGCTAACTATCCGAAGAGACTAGTATATCTATACATATGCATACGTATATATTTAAATACACACACACACACACACACACACATATATATATATATATATATATATATATATATATATAAATATATATAAAAGAGAGATTATCGATTATCACTCAACTAAGTTACAGAGCAAAATCCACTAGGAAATTTACCTGTTCGAGCCGAAAATGTTTCATGAAAAAACTCCATAGAATACTGAGTTTTGTATACAATTTGTCGAACCCACCCCTACTCACGTATATATATATATATATATATATATATATATATATATATATATATATATATATATATATATATATATATATATGTGTGGGGGGCTGCTTGCTGCGTGCGTGTGTGTGTGTGTGTTTTTTGTGTAATTCTGTGAAATATTTACAACTTTTTTAAAATTTTTTTTATTATTACGAGTATAAATACTATTTCTGTTTCCATTTTCTTTACGACTTCCTTATTGGTTACTCAATCAGACCATGGAATATTCTGTATCCTTCTGTAGGACACTATTTCTGTAGACTTTCGTTTTTTCCTCATCTGTGAAGAGAATGTACCTCATTCACTGCCATATGAGCGGATGGGTATCACATAGCAATACCGCACCTTTTTTCTTTTCTAATAAAAACATTTCAGCTGTTTATTTTTAGTCATTTTTAGAGATGTATGAAAAGATTCATTTGACGTGCACGATGTCTAATATACTCATTAACTTTTTCATGGAAATAATCAAACAAGAAAAGTTTTTTAAAAAATCTGGAAGAAGCATAATGTTTGGTGTTAATTGTGTAGAGTGTAAAATTATAAATCTCTTCAATGTTCATGATGATGTAGTCTTATCAATTTTTGGACAATATATTTCTGTGTGGTACAGGTTACAACTAAGAAAATACAGACTGCATTCATTGAAGATAATGCTCTTTCAGATTATTCTAAATTGATTATTGTGCTCTTCACCGAAAATTGTTTTCAATGTCACTAAGCAAATAGAATTCCATCCAATAGTACATATGTGTTGTTCAGCAATAATATATATATATATGTGTATGTATGTATATATAGGTATAAAAAAATACCTTGTAAATATTTGATAGGAAAATGAAAGTTGATGCTTTCAGATTATTCAAAATTGATTATTGTGCCGTTCACCAAAAATTGATTTCAATGACGAAGAGAAGCAAATAAAATTCCATCTCTAGACGTTCATCCAATAGTATATTTGTTCTTCACTAATAATAAATAATAATATATATATATATATATATATATATATATATATATATATTATATATAATTTTATTTCATTTGTTTTTAAATATCTGGACCTAGGCTGCCTTTCGGCCAACGCATCATCAGGGACCAATCGTTGGCAACTTTTAACTCATTTGGATTGATAAGGGATAGTATTGGAACACGCATAAAATTACGAAATCCGTAAAATTAAAAAAAAAGCAAATAAATTTACGATTAAAATACGTTAATAAAGAAAAAAATGATCCCAAAAAGGAAAAAATAAAGCTCACATATCTCCGAATAAATTCAAGAATCTTAAAAAATTCTCCTTCTGCTTGCATAGTATAGGTTGGAATAATGTTAAGCATAAAGCTTTCAAAATTAATAAATGATGTTTTGATCTACCTGTATGCAAAATAGAAAACGAGTCAGTCGAAAAACAAGACGAGCATGACTCATTATCTAATAGATGTTGTCCAATTGAAGACTCGTGCGCTGATTACGACACACGAGAATGATCACAAGAATGTAATGTAATATTCCTAGGAACATGTTGGCTTATTCTCGACTCTAACCTGACAATCGTCCGTCCTATGTATTCAGCTTCGCACTGACATTTGAAGTTAGAAATAAGCAAATTTTTATTGTGATAAGGTTAGACGGTCTTTAAGAAACGAAGGTAAAATCCAGAGAGTGCCATAAATAACACATAGTTTGACTGAAAATAAAAATGGCAGAGACAATAGTAGAAACTCCGTCACCTAAAAGTTTGCATTTTCTGCCAAGCTAAGGTAATTTAAGATAAACCGGGCACAGACTAGAACCCAATTTAGGCGGCATATTAATGTTGCCTATTTTTCGTTCAATTGTGCGGTCAACAATACGAGTTGGAAAACCATTATTGACAAGAATACAATAGATCTTATTTAACTTCTGTTGGAGTTTACATATTGAGCAAATTAATAGGGCTCGATATACTAAAGTTTTAATCAAATTTATTTTTCTATGCTGAGGGACAAAAGAATTCCAACTGGTGTAAAGACCTGAAAATATGTCTTTATGAAAAACACTGGTAATAAAAATACCATTCTTCCTCTCCACAAGAACATCCAGAAAAGAAATAGAGTTGTTCACTTCTTCCTCCATTGTGAAAACCAAAGATGAATGTAAACCATTTAAGGATTCACAAAAAAAGAGTTCCATCCCCTATGTTATTAAACATAGAAAAAGTATCAACAATGTAACGTTGATAAATATACGGTTTCGGATACTTCTAAAACAAAAGGCTCCCATGATAACCAACAAAAATATTAGCTAAAAAGGGACCCAATACATACATAATATTTTCAAAACTAAATTTTATTCCTTTAGTTGCTAACATAAAGAACTCCAAAAACAAAGGAGGACCCAGGCAACCTCTATAGACAGTGCCGTTTCTTGGATGGGGGAGGAACTTACAATATCAAAGGAAATGTAGAAACTTACAATATCAAAGGAAATCATCAGAAGAAGAAATGGGAAAGTTTCTAATGAATTTGGAAAAGGTGAAAGAGTCTGACATACAGTATGGTGAGAAGTAATCAGAAACAGGTTTCATCAATGTAGACAACCATTTGTACAACTCATGTTGTGCCGATCCCACCATAGATAAAATGGGACGTAAGGGCACATTATTTTTATGTATTTTAGGCAAACCATATAGTCTGTGTCTTTGGAATCCTAGGGTTCTGATCTCATTGTAGGTATCTTTAATTATGAGATTACCTTTATATATTCCTAACAAGCGTTCCTGAAGTTTTAATTCAAGTTAATTCAGTACGGTCGTGTACTGAAGACGGATCAATCAAAGGAAACTTTGTAGTATCACTTGGAATAAAGTTCATGTTACTCACATAGTCAAATCTGTTTAGAATAACAACACAAATGCCTTTGTCAGG